ATCACTAATTCGGTATCGATTTTTCTTTAGAGAAAATGTCAAGTCATTAATAGTATTTGAGTTGTATAAAGGATTATAATTATTATGTAATGTTAAGATGTTATATATAATGGATAATATTTTCGCAAATTCTGAATTTCATAAATAAAATAAATACGATGGTAAATTACAATCTCAAGTTTTATAAAAAAAATGGACTGCACACATTAAAATATTTACGAGAATATTCCTAAAGTATGTTTGCGTGAATATACACGCATATATTTAAATTGATCGTATTTATTTATTTACATGCAATTCGTTTTGTTCTTTCTAGTAATATATAGTTATATATTTCTAATGAATTCTTATTGATTTTAGTTGCTATATATTATATTGATTATATAATAATTGATATTGTTCCAGGTTATCTTCGCGATGTAACTGGAAGTTACACTGTGTGTTTTTTGTGTATGGGTACGTGTATGGTCATAGGGGGTTTACCTCTGCTTTTGGTTTTCAACGAGAACCAAACAAATCCAACAAAGCTGCCCGTGAACGCCGAGAATAACAATCGTCAAGGGGACACTACCATAAAAGGATAAATTATTTTGAAAATGTGATCGTTGACTATAAAGTGATTTAATGTGTAATAGGAAAATAAATAAATCGTAACAGTTGTCACAAAAAATAACATATTAATGCTTACTGAATATCTTCAAGATGGACTCCCTGCCTTTTTATATTTTGAGACGGAATATTTTTATTAGATAAATTTCATGAAATAGATTAGAAACTTATATATTCATGCTTTATTTATTCATTTTATTCTCTAATTATTTCTGACATTCTCTCTTGTATTTCAATATTTTCAACATCCTTTCTGTCAAGTATTCTTTCAAATAAATTTAATTAACATTCGGTGAGAGTTTTAAATTACGTATGTTTTGTGAATGTATAAGCAATAATGTTCATGTGAATACATATGTCTCATGAATTTTAATAAACGTATAAACAATCTCCAAGAAGTTTCCTTATCCTGTTTTTATTATTTACATTTTACATATTACAATTATATACAAAATCTTTTATTAATTTAATGTCTATTAAACATTGTTTATATATATGAAAAGGTGATTATCACATAGAAAGTAAATTAATTCAAATGGATATATGAATAATATTTAAAAAACGATGACCAATAATCTATAATATAAAATCTTTACAATATAATCTATAATATAAATTTTTATTAAATCTAAATATGTACATGTTGAGTCATGATGTTTACGTATTTCTTTTTTTAATCTTTAAATTGGTGTGTGTACATATGTATACATACACACACAAGATGAGTCATGAGTATATTAAAAATTTCATAAGCGTGTTCCTAGATAAAAAAGAAGAATAAATGTTTCTATGAACATTAGGTTACAAATGCCTTGAAATAATGGACACAAATAAGTTCAAAATTATATGTATATATACATAT